ATATATATATATATATATATATATATATATATATATATATAAATAAATTTTTACTTCATTTCACATTAAAATTGCAATATTCAAGAAACGATTATGCAATAATTTGCAAAATTTCCGCCGAGCAACAGCACGAGTAACAAGTAACGTAAATAAATCTTTTCGTTTTTGATTTGTAGAGCCATGTGAGCGTTCACAACAATTGTTATTTCTCATACTAAGAAAATTTAGGATAACATACACTGTATATGACTAATTGAAATTCATTGTAATTCAGGTGTTAAATAACAACATTTAGTATAAGATGAAAGCTTTACTCTTCAATAAATATGTTATACGGTACTTTTGTGCGTTTAAGCAACGAAATATGTAAGATGTTATAAAATTTTATTTCTCATTACAGAATTAAAAAAAAACATTCAAAATTACTATTATCACGATCTAATGCAAATATGTGTTCATAAACAGTTATTTACAATTAGGTGATATACTTCCAAATCCGTAATCTTTTATCAAATAAAATCACGTAAATTTAGCCAGATTTGGGATGTCGTCTTATGCGTAGCTCGCCGTATACGTGTAAATATTCGATATATATATATATATATATATATATATATATATATATATATATATATATATGTGTGTGTGTGTGTGTGTGTGTGTGTGTGTGTGTGTGTGTGTAATTAAGTAACGAAAATCTTGGCAATCCGTATAGATAGTCCCAAGGAGGATGAAATCCGGAGAGCTCAGTGTTAAATCAGAGCGAATAATTTATATATATGTATGTATGTATGTATGGGATAACGATATATTTATTTTTGTATATCAAGAACAGTTTTAAAAGAAATGACACATTGGATGAAACGCGTCGCATATCTTTTTCCAATATATATATATATATATATATATATATATATATATGAAGAAAAATATACGGAAAAAACAAACAAAAATCCTTATAAACAATTATGCTGTTTTAATGTTAATATGTCAACGTCGGACGTTTCGGTCTAATAAACCATCTTCAGGACATATTCATAAAATATAATTAACATTATCAATTCAACAGGACAAATTTTTGTTTGTTTTTTCCGTATATTTTTCTTCATACTGTCGGATCTATATCCATATATATATATATATATATATATATATATATATATATATATATATATATATATATGTGTGTGTGTGTGTGTGTGTGTGTGTGTGTGTGTGTGTGTGTTGTCTTTAAGGGTTAGTTTTGCTTGCTACTCGGATTTGAGTAGACTTTCCATTTATTTATTAGTACTAAATTTATTTTCGTCTACCGGCCGGAAAATCCTAGAAATTTACTTTAAGAAGATTTCTTATAGTTTTTGCAACTTCCTTCTCTTTTCTTCTCTGCTGTTTCTTCTCAGTTACTTTCCTGTAGAAATGGCCAGTTGATGCCTATATTTTGCGTGTTTGTATGTCTGAAATCTCAGAGAGTACCCTGATATTACTCTCATCCTCGCTGATAATGAGTACCACTGACATTTTGCTACCAAGTGGTACTAATTAGAGAATGCAGATGACCTGATGTTATGTACACGTGTCGATCCATGCGTGAACAGTACCGTTTTTTACGGGTACAAAACTAGTATTCGGTAACATAGCGTAATTAAAGTAGACGACACGTAGGAGAATTGTATGGCCAACTACGAACACGTACACAAATGCTAATGCAGATTTGACCAGCGTAGGCTTACATAAATGCACAAAAATTCGTCATCACTGATCTGAGATTTACTTTCACATCTGATGACATGAAAACATGCAGATATTGAAGCACACAAAGAAATATATTTCTTTCGTTTTTATTTGAGGAAGCCTATCCAACGATGTCGAAACGCGTCAATAAAACAAATTTCCAGTTTGTCAAATGTATAAAACATTATCTGGATTCTATATCTTGCTGTTGGACATGCAAAAATTCCCAAGGAGATTCTATTTCTGGATTTTCCACTGAACTCGGAAATCTTTTTAAATCGTGTGTCTATGTGTGTATCGGTAACATTTTGAAGTGTGTACAGATAATACACTGGTCGTGGGTAGAGGTCACTGGAAGCAACACTTGATCCGAAGTAGAGAATTCAGATATTCTGCCAATGTCTAGAAGTGATGATCCATGCGTAAACGATTCTGTTTAGGTGTTTTTACGTGTACAATGCTAGTTTTGGGTAACATAGTGTAATTAATGTGGATGACACGTAGCGGAATCCTGTGGACAGCGAAAGACACGTCCCCAAATGCTAATGTGGATTCGGCCAGGGCATGCATAGATGAAGGGACAAAGATTCGTCATTGCAATCGCTCACAATAACATGAATCGTCATTGCAATCGCTCACAATAACATGAATCGTCATTGCAATCGCTCACAAAGACATGAATCGTCATTGCTATCGCTCACAAAGACATGAATCGTCATTGCTATCGCTCACAAAGACATGAATCGTCATTGCTATCGCTCACAATAAC